CCCCCGGCCTTGGCAACCCACACCACCCCCAGGCTCTCACAGGGATCCCTTCAGTGAGTGCCCTGGGCTTTCACCTGCTCTAGACCTTATTCTAAATTGGCAAGTAATTGAAGTTACAGCCTCAGAGCTGTTTGCACTCCCTGTTTTGCTGCTTTTTAAGAATCTCTCTTCAAACTTTGAACAGTGAAAATAACCCCTAAGCTCTGAGCAAGTACAGGAAAGAGAAACAGGGCAGATTCCCTCTAGGAAATTCAGGGTATCTTTTACCAGTGTTGCACAATACCATCTTCTGGTTTACAGCCTGCTTCTCACCACATTAGTGCTTCTTACCCAGCCGATGTGGGTTTCTGTATCAGAGAGCGAGAACTTTGCCATGGTTGGAAATGTAGCTGTGTCATAACACATTCTGACACATACCTGAATTACCTAAACCTAGTAATTCCGTATTTGCAAATGCAGAACTGCTGGCATTGGCTTCCCTGTGTGCAACCTCTGCTCAAACATACCCAGAAAAAGTGATTTTCTACACATACACTGAGTGCTCCTGCTAGCAAACAAGCTGGCAACTGCTCTTCTCTCCCCATAAATAGGAAAAAAATTACAATCAACTCCCTCAGCTTGTGTAGTTCAAGCAGTTGTAGAGTCCAGGGTGACTCCAGAGGGAGTTTATTTTCCTCTTTTCTGAGAAAATAAAGGTAGAAAACACTAGGGAGTGCCAAAATACTTAGATGCCCTTTACTAACCCATTTCTCCTAGGGATGATTAGGTGTCAGTGGTTTGCAGCTCCTAAGAAATGCTGTCCAGCACTTTGAACCATGCCAGCTTGGTCTGGATCCCAGTGAAAGTGGTAGAATGTTTTTTTGCACTGTGTTGTCTACTAAGGGAACCCAAGTAGTTTATATGGAGGATTTGGACATCCTCAGAGGGCTGTGAATGATGCAAGATACCCAACTGCACCTCGGTGGGTGGCTGCAGAGAAACGGGCATAAAGTTCAGAGCTTCAGCTCCTCCAGTACAGCCATTTCTGATCCCAGTCGGAGCCTGGGGCAATAGAACCACGGTAAAGCCTGGCTGGCTACAGGCCAGTGCCCGCTCCTTCGTTTTATCTGAGTCATCCTGACTCCTTTCTGGTGAAACCTGTGATCGGAAATGAATGATAAATGTGGCGTGTGTTACTGCTGCTGGAGTTTTTCTCTTTCTTTTTGCTTCTCTTGGTTAAACGTAGCTCTTGTGCCAGAAGGAGATGGAGGAAAACCAGTGAGTCGTGCTCCGCACCCCATCCCTCCAACAGCTCCTTCCCCTCCTTATCTCCCCAGCAATTTACCATTTCCTAGGCACAAGGGTGAGGAATTTGTCCCTGCTGCCTTATGGACAGATCGAGCGTGAAAAGAGGGCTGTGTCCCTTAGCACCTCTGCCATTTATTTTGGTGGCAGTCCAGAAAACATTAGTTACTCCACTCATGGGTGGGGTGACAGCATACACGCTATGCTCAGCTGAACCTAAGACTTGGTTTCTATCTTATAAAATCCCAGATCAGCTTCGGCTGAGGGGATCTCCCTTCCAAGCAACCAATAGTTGAACCTTACTTGGGGTAGTTGAACCTTACTTGGGATGGAGCAGAAAGGGCTGTTGGCAAAGGTGAGCTGTGCTCTGTCTGCCAGATTTTCCCAAAGTGCCTGGAGGATGGAGGATGTTCAAACCACCACTGGGGTGACATCCCAGTCAGATCTCCACAGAAACCACCAAATATGTGGGCACGTTCTAGGGTCATAGGTGGGACTATGAAAACCCTGGGGCACATGAGCAGCAGGAAGTGGGCTGTGGAGCTCCTAGGTTGGAAGGGACTGAAACAAAGCTGCGATGAAGTGGTGAGGACTGCCACGAAGGAGGGCAAATCCCTCCCTGGAATCTTTCTGGTGGATGTACCATGCCACCAGCGACCCAAAGCACCCCAGGACGGGTACGGCAGTGTTCCAGCAGCAGTGGGGGGCTGCGAAGTGGAATGCACCAGCATCACGCTGGAGGGAAAAGGACCAGCCCTCCAAGGTGGACAGGGTGAAGGGAAAACGGAGACCGGTGTTGGCACCTGGTGCGCAGGGCAAGGACCCGCACCCCAGCAGGACGCTCCCCATCCATCCGCTGGGGATGAAGGGGCACCCTGCCTGCCGGCGTCCCCTGGCGCCACCCTGTCGTGGCGGGCTGAGACCGGCCGGCTCATGACACAGCGGGTGACGTCACGGCAGCGGCTGCCAATGGCAGCGGCGCGGGCGGTATAAAGCGGGCGGTTGAGGGGCCGAGCGGGAGCGCGGTGCTGGGCTGAGGCGGCGGCGGGCGGGGTCGCTGAGGGCTCTGGGCTCCACCGCAGCGCTCTGCCCGCTCCGTGGCTGCGCCCATGGAGGCGGCGCGGGGCTGTAACGGGTACGCGCGGCAGGACAGGCCGCCGCCGCCCTCCGCTTCCCCGTCGGCGGTGGCCGAGAAGCCGCGCGGGCCCCCCGGCGGTGGCGGGGACGGGTGGCGGGGAGAGCGGCCCCGCAGCGAGGAGGACAACGAGCTGAGCCTGCCCAGCCTGGCGGCCGCGTACACCACCATCCTGCGCTCGCTAGGCGAGGACCCCGAGCGGCAGGGGCTGCTGAAGACGCCCTGGAGGGCGGCCACCGCCATGCAGTTCTTCACCAAGGGCTACCAGGAGACCATCTCGGGTAGGGAATGCCGCCCCGGGCGGGCCGGTGTCACCCCGGGGAGGGCTCCGGGCGGCGGAGCTGGAGGCTGCTGCTTTCATATCAGCCGTGGGGCTGGCTTTCCTGCTGTGTTGCTTCGCCGCTGCCCTGCCACAGTACCGACAGTCTAATGCTCCTTGTCATCAGCATTAGGAGTACCTCGGGGTCTCTCTGTCCTCTCCTTCCCCCTTTCTAAGCTCTATGCTGGTGAAGTTCACGTTCTGTCATAAACTTCTGTGCTTCTGGTTTCGGTGATCAGAACAAGTGCTTTTATTTCCTTTCCTTCAGCATAAACTTTTCAAGCTCTGGCATAGAAACTTATTGATTGTACTTTCCTCTGTACCCAGCGGAGCTAGGCTGTGTTCAGCGCGGGTAGTGTGTTTGCGTCTATCAGCAAACGTAGGTGGTTTGAATTTTTCTCCGAAAAAGACCACTTCTGCTGATGCTTTTATCAGGTGAGGTTTTTCAAGGGTGGGAATTAAACTTGAGGAGGTGCGGTAAGGGGGAAAGGAGGAGGTCAGGGAGATCCCTGCTACTTCTCAGGGTCCTAGCAGTAAATGCTGGTATAGAGAGGCGTCGTGGGTTCACATCCCTGCCCCCTTATCTGCTTGCTGTCTGTGAGCCCTCCCTGAGGGCAGGAGGAGGGGAGCTGGGTGGGATTTGTCCTCCCGATCACCAGCAACTCCAAAGGTGTCTCTTGGTTATATTGCAGGGTAAATCTTAATTGAAAACTTCATATTTACATCAGTTTACTTCTTAGTCTTTCCATTAACGAACCTTTCCCTGCTGGGGATTTCCCCTTTTGCTCCCTCTTACGGTAAAAAGCAAGTTCCTGTTTGAGCATAAGGGAGGCAAATACTGGCAGCAAGGATCTTTTGAATGTGAATAAGGAAGCAGATGATCCTGGTTTGCTCTCCAGAGTACAGCACTGGTGTGTGAGCCTGCCCCAGAACTGCATCAATGTGTTGCAGCTGAAAAAAATAAAGCTGTGCTATGCTGATGGTTGGCATCAGGGAGCTCCTGCTAGCCCTCTGGAGTCTGTTCTGTATGCGCACTGTGCTTCAACTTGAAGGATGGGTTTTGTGTTTAGTTTCATTTTCACCTCTCCACTTTTAGTCTTCTGAAATCAGATTGCGTACAACTTCCGACATTAACTTACTCAGGGCCAGCTTATACTTGTGCCAATGTTGTCTCCTAGCTTGCCCGAGGAGCAGCTTTTCTGTCTTGGCATTTGCTTTGCCCTTTAAATCAAACCAGGTTTTCAGGTTCACCTCTGAAAATAAGCTCAGTGATGCAATGGCCATTCTTGTTCCTCTCTTCCTTCAGTCCTTCTGTATGATCTGCTTGAGATGAGGTTTCATAAGGGTTTTGCGAAATAATCCTTTGTCTACTAGGAATAGCTTCTCATTTGGGAACTGCATGTGTGTCTACTGCCAGGAGGCCTCTTGGTTATCCTGCTGGTCTCTAACACAGGGTTTTTGTTTTTGTTTTTAGGGATAGTTTTTGAGTATGAATTTGAGTTGAACCTGAGTGAGATTGCTGCCTATCTTAAGCCCTCTTGTCTTTCTGCCAGGTGTGTGCAGAGCCTCAAGCTCCCTTCACATCTTTTATAGCTTTTTTCCTTCTCCAGTGTAGATTATCTGGGACTTGAATAGTCTGTCCTAACCTCTCACATTTCTGAGTGCAGAGTAGTTCTGGATAGTCCCTACCTCTGAATAGCCATGCCTGGGAGAGAGCTGTGTTATTACCTTAGAGTAGGAAGCATCACAGCTGGGTGCAGTACTCTTGGACTGCTCTTTTCTGGGAAATAAAATGAAGCTGTGATACTAACAACATTTCTTCCTCATCCTTTTACTTTCCAGCTACTCACATGTTCTTGCATAATGCATAAAGACATGGAACTCTTGGAACAAGTCCAGAGAAGGGCCAAGAGGACAATCGGGGGACTGGAGCACCTCCCATATGAAGAGAGGCTGAGGAAGTTGGGGCTGTTCAGCCTGGAGAAGAGAAGCTGTGTGGAGACCTCATAGCAGCCTTCCAGTATCTGAAGGGGGGCTATAGGGATGCTGGGGAGGGACTATTAATTAGGGACTGTAGTGACAAGACAAGGGGTAACAGGTTAAAACTTAAACAGGGGAACTTTACACTGGATATAAGGAAGAAGTTCTTTCCTGTTAGGGTGGTGAGGCACTGGAATGGGTTGCCCAGGGAGGTTCTGAATGCTCCATCCCTGACTGTGTTCAAGGCCAGGTTGGATGAGGCCTTGGGTGATACGGTTAGTGTGAGGTGTCCCTGCCCATGGTGGGGGGGTTGGAACTTGATGATCTTAAGGTCCTTTCCAACCCTAACTATTCTGTGATTCTGTGCCAAGCTTTCAGTCTTCCCAGCTTCAGTTTTCTTTACTAGACACAGAAGAAAGAGCTGTAGCTGAAGAACAAGTCCACAGCGTCTAGCAAATTGAGAAAAATAAAGCGCACATACACACACAAAACCAACTCCAAAAGCCAATAAAAAGCAGTCCTGACTTCTTGTTTTCTCAGGTTTATTTTACAGGTTATTTAGCTCCTTATGTGGAACTGTCTGGATAGGCAGATGTAAGCAGTGATTTGTGGGATGTATTGAGGAGCAGTGTTCAGGTTTACCCCCCCCAGCAGGCAGAGGGTAACAGACACAATAGCTTTAATTCCCATCTTTCCGTAAAAGGCTTGTCAAGTAGAAGCTTTGTGGTGGTGACTGTACAAATACAGGGTTAGAAGCCAAGACACCAATCTTCAGCTGGCCACAGCTGTGCTCACAACCCTTGCCACTGTGTAAAAATGTTGCCAGACTATTCAGCCAGAAAAGTGACGAAGATGAGCCAAGGTAGTGAATGGTAGTATAGCTGCAGGCTTTAAAATCAGCCTTCTGAGTCTGCTTATCTGCCTTGGGTAGGCAGGAGAAAAGGGATTAGTTTCTGATGGCATTTTAATTTTCCATATACAACAGGAAAAAAAGGTGTAATCTACTCTGGAAAAGAGAAGGCTCTGGTGAGACCTTGAGGCAGCATTCTGGTACCTAAAGGAGCTGACAAGAAAGCTGTAGAGAGACTTTTGGCAAGGGCCTTTAGGGATAGGACAAGGGGGAATGACTTTAAACTGACCGAGGGTAGATTTACATTAGATACCAGGAAGAAGTTCTTCCCTGTGAGAGTGGTGAGGTGCTGGCCCAGGTGGTCCAGCAAGGTCAGGGACATGGGTTGGGACAACCCCTAGTATCAGCATAGGCTGGGCGTGAAGGGGTTGAGAGCAGCCTGTGGAGAAGGACCTGGGGGTACTGCTGTACGAAAAGCTGGATGTGACCTGGCAGTGTGCAGCCTGGAAAGCTAACTGTATGTTGGGCTGCATCACCAGCAGTGTGACCAGCAGGTTGAGGGAGGTGATTCTCCCACTCTCTTGCTCTGCTTAAGACCCCACCTGCAGTACTGCATCCAGCTCTGGGGTCCCTAGCATAGGAAGGACATGGACCTGTGGAGTGAGTCCAGAGGAGTTCATGAAGATGCTTATGGGCTGGAACACTTCTGCTATGGAGACAGGCTGAGAGAGCTGGGCTTGTTCAGCCTGGAGAAGAGAAGGCTTCTGGGAGGCCTTAGAGCAGCTTCCAGTGCTCAAAAGCAGCTTATAAGAAAGGTGGGAACAGACTTTTTGATAGGGTCTGTTGTGACAGGATAAGGGGTAGTGGTTTAAACTAAGAGAGGGTAGATTCAGACCAAATCTCAGGAGGAAATCTTTTACAATGAGGGTGGTGGGGCACTTTAACAGGTTGTCCTGAGAAGTTGTGGATCCCTAATCCCTGGAAACGTTCCAGGCCAGGTTGGACAGGGCTTTGAGGGACCTGATCTAGTGGAAGGTGTCCCTGTTCATTGAAGGGGGTTTGGATTGGGTGATCTTTAAGGTCCCGTCCAACACAAACTGTTCTATGATCTTTTTGGTTACTGTGTGTCTGAGAATATAATACATTTGGGGCATGGTTAAATGTGTTCGTTACTTGATCTTTCCTGGGTCTTGTCTCTTTGCTTCCCTGACACCTGATTTTATTTGTATTTTTGTACTTTCCATAGCTTTGTAGTGTTGTAGGGAAGTTTACATCTAAATTCTGACCCTTCTCTTCATTCAGATTTATGTAACACAGAAGCTGATTCTGTTTTCCAGCTTCTCTTTCATAATGCAGAGTAACAGTGTTCCTGCTTTACCCCTTACTCATCTTTGCTATCTGTGTTCTGCAGCTGGTCAGTATTGTATTTCAGAGCCATTAGTAGAGTTTACTTGCTAAATGTGTAAATCTGTCTCCTTCTGTTCTTTCTAGATTGTCTTGTCTTGTATTAATCCTCCTTTTACTAAAGGCTTCAGCCTTTCTTTGACAAAATATATTCAGATGTGTAGATCTTGCTTCTATACATGACATACAAAGCCATCAAACTTCCACTGGAGCAGCAAGAATGCCTCCAGTGACTTCAAATGAAATCCACCTGGGGACCAGATTAAAAAATGCTAGCAGTTCACACCTGGGTTTCTGTGTAGACCAACAGCCATTCCAACAGAAACCTCTTAATGGGTTGGTGAGGATGGCACAGCAGACAAGATACTGACAATATCACTTCTCAATTTCATGCAGTGCTTCCGCTTGAGTATTCAAGAACAAGTTTTCTTTTCCAGAGTCAGATTTATCAGCTTCATACTTCTGGGAGTAAATTATATACCAAACCAGTAACCTGTCCTCTTGTTTAATAAAGGCTAACAGCAGGAATGCTGATAGCAATAGCCTTTAGCTTTCTTAGAGCTGGTTCAGGCAATTGCCTGCCTCACAAAGGCTAAACCTTGAAAGATTTGTCTCTTCTTTTACCAAAGGCTTAATGTCATACTTGGAGGTGCTGTCTGTGAGTCTCTATAAATGCTACAAAGCACATGTGTGTGCAGATGCAGATAATGAGTGAATAAATGGAAATACAAGATTGTAGACAGTACTAACTTTGATTCTGAAGTCTTCAGCTTCAGTTACATCTTGCTAAGCAGAGCTAACTGCTAAGTTACAGAAAGTGTCAGCTACAGTCAGTGTCAATGATGCTAACTTCAAAAGGTAAATCATAAAGGAGTTGGTTCTGATTGTGTAATCCCGTAGGAAACATTAGGCACAGTCTGAACAAGCTGCGTGCATCTACAGTGGGAAGTTAACCTGGTTTCATCATCCATAAGCACTCTAAGCAAAACAGCATATTCATTAAACTGTGTTTGTTGGTAGTGGTGCTAGCTGTTATATGAATGAAGGCTGGAAGACTTTTTTGGTAGGTGTGTTAGTTTTCAAGCAAGTTCTGCTGTCCTTTCAGCATGTTTAACAGGAAAATGAAAATTGGACATACTGGGAGAGGATAACTTCTCTCTCTGAAGCTCTGTGGTTTGAAAGGATGCTTGTATGCTTTATTTCCCTGAAAGCTAAGTGTCTCTGCTGTGCAGCTTTTATTTTAAAGCAAGTACTAACTAGTTAGGTCTTACGGAGTAGATTAACTGAACAGTGTGAATGCTGCTTTACCTATGGTGAAAATGCAACCTTAATACTCTTTCCTCATCATCTTGTCTGTGGATTTGGTATTTTGACAGATGAGAACCATGGTGTAAGCTCATAAATTTTCCAAGCTTGCTTAGTTTGCTGTGGATGAGAGGTGCTAAGCATCACTACATAAAATAGACAGGCAGTGTCTTAAACAAACAAGACTGTTTGATCAACAGCACTGCCCTTTGCTAAGAGCTGGTGAGTTACTTTATTCTTTCCCTGGAAAAAAGGTACTGCTGGTTCTCTTTCCATAGATGCAATAGTATAACCTATTAGTAATTCAAGCATCAGCATTATTAGAATCATAGAATAGTTAGGGCTGGAAAGGACCTTAAGATCATCTAGTTCCAGCCCCCCTGCCATGGGCAGGGACACCTCACACTAAACCATATCACACAAGGCCTCGTCCAACCTGGCCTTGAACACTGCCAGGGATGGAGCATTCACAGCCTCACTGGGCAACCCATTCCAGTGCCTCATCACCCTAACAGGAAAGAACTTCTTCCTTATCCAATCTAAACTTCCCCTGTTTAAGTTTTAACCCGTTACGCCTTGTCCTGTCACTACAGTCCCTAATGAAGAGTCCCTCCCCAGCATCTCTATAGGCCTCTTCAGGTACTGGAAGGCTGCTGTGAGGTCTCCATGCAGCCTTCTCTTCTCCAGGCTGAACAGCCCCAACTTCCTCAGCCTGTCTTCATACAGGAGATGCTCCAGTCCCCTCATCATCCTCGTGGCCCTTCTCTGGACTTGTTCCAACAGTTCCATGTCCTTTTTATGTTGAGGACACCAGAACTGCACACAGTACTCCAAGTGAGGTCTCACAAGAGCAGAGTAGAGGGGCAGGATCACCTCCTTTGACCTGCTGGTCACGCTCCTTTTGATGCAGCCCAGGATACGGTTGGCTTTCTGGGCTGCAAGTGCACGCTGCCGGCTCATGTTCATTTTCTCATCAACCAACACCCCCAAGTCCTTCTCCACAGGGCTGCTCTGAATCTCTTCTCTGCCCAACCTGTAGCTGTGCCTGGGATTGCTCCAACCCAGGTGTAGACCCTTGTGCTTGTCATGGTTAAACTTCATGAGGTTGGCATCAGCCCACCTCACAAGCCTGTCAAGGTCCCTCTGGATGGCATTCCTTCCCTCCAGGGTATCAACTGAACCACACAGCTTGGTGTCATCGGCAAACTTGGTGGGGGCGTACTCAATCCTACTTGCTATTGTGGTATAGCAATGGCTTCTTTCTTGTAGATCAGAGGGTGAGAAATACTGGGTTGTACAGAGCAAGATTCTTGGGGGTTTCTTTCCTCAACCTGTGCCCCCCCATGTGTGAAGCCTGCCACGCTGAAAGATGTATTTCATGCAGTGAAACTTTCTCTGGAAACTAGGACTGTTGGGCTTTCCAGGATGATCTCCCCTGCCCATTAATGCTCAAGTAACACCAAGCTCATTTGCAGTTTTCTTGGGAATGTAATAGATGTCTTAACCTCTCAGATCTTACCTACTAAAGGCTCCTGGTCATGTTGCTTTTTGAAAGTGTTTTGTCTTCTCTGATTTTTTTTTTTTTTTTCTTCTCTTTTGATTTCAGAAAATGTGGACAAGGGGACTTTCAGCACCTTCTATGACATGAGACATTGAAATTGTTATTGATACATTTTAAAGGGTATCTCCATAACCTTGCTTTCCCACATATTAATAAACCTCCTGGCAGAGGACAACTTCTAGAACCTAATCTTAGCTTCATCTGAGAGTCTGCAATAGCTGATCTCTTACAAATAGACTTGAATCTCCCACAGCAACATGGAAAGTGTCTCATAGGAAAATAAATCTGTACAAATAGTGGCCAGAATTAGTTGAATAGCAATAATGCTTTTTCTCCATCTTCGCTTCTATGGTATGTCTTAAATTACACATCTGGTTCACCTCTCTTCTGGTAACTGAGGAATTAAGTTTTGTTTATGAAACAAATGTTCCTGTTGGAAGCTGAGTATCTGTTTCTAGTCTTTTGATGTGGCAGTGATGAAATCTGAAATATTAGTCATAAACTCGTAAATTCTTCTGTGTCGGAGGTTTCACAGTCAGGATTCTGTTAGGAAGGTGTGTTATAGGAAGGAAGCCACATAGTGCTTATCTGATTTTTCTCTGCAGCTCTTGAAGTCTATTGCCTATTTAAATAATAATGTGGCATCATAGGCTGTGGCTCCTTCTAGAGCTCTTCAAGATTTCTTGAAGCAAATGGCATACCCTGCTTACCCTCTTTCTTATTATCCTGAAGTCACTAAATTTCTGCAGCAGTACCAACTATATGACTGAGTGGTTTTGTAGCCTAATTCTCTTCTCTGTGCGCATAATAAATTCCTGGTACCTTTTTAATACTGAAAACTTGCAGTAATTGTTTCTTCTCTGGAATATTTTCTCTAACTACAGTTACCTCTGGTGTCATCACATGAATAAATAAAATAATTCGGTTTTGACTTGACATCTTACTGCTTACCCAGAAGCAACTGAAAGGCTTTCACAGCAATTTGCTTCCAGATTTAATTCTGCCCTTGTAGACTGTTGATGGTTTCCCTATCACACATTCAGCTGTTAGTTCGTGTCTCCTGCTTTGTTAGTTACATCTGTATTCGGATGAAGAGGCACTTGAGAAACGCATTCAAGGTGGCTGCCAACATACCCCAGCTGGTTATACCTTATTGGATGGTTAGCCTTTGGTCTCTGACTTATGGCATTGCTGTTCTGGAGTATCCTCCAAACCCATTACTGTTTTATTCTAGGTACCCTGTTACTGTTTTTGTCTGTGTTCCCAAGAGAGCAGAAGGTACCTGACCTCAGCCTATATCTTAGTTTGTCGAAACTAATAGGCATTGCTATGGTGTGACTTGCCACACCACTCTCACAGGATGCCTTCCTCCCTTGGCCTGAACTCATTCCTGATGGCCTCAGCTGCCTGCTGTGACTTACAGGTCACCATAGAGAGCATAGGGGCTGTCAGTGACCAGCTGTGTAATGGGTATCGGGAGACTCTTAATGTCTCTAGCAGGATTCATGAGCTCAAGGGATCTCTGAGGCTGCCTTTTTTCTGTTGATGCTGAACAATCCTCAGTCTGACTACTCTGAAGTGGAGCAGTGAGACAACTTAGCACCATGGGGAAGTACTTTAACTCGTAGAACAGCCTACATCATTTTTCTGTCTCCCAGGCATAATAAAAATGGGACACTTGAAGTGCTGTGAAGCTGATGCAGTGTAGCTCTGCAGAGTGCTGCCATCCTTCATTCCCCTCACCTATTGAGCCATATGCTGGGTGGGCTCTTGTGTCTTTGGTTGCCAGAGGTACTTTTGCTTTCCTGTGTCACATTAAAGCCATGCAAATAGTTTCTATAGCAACAGGTCTTTTTGCTTAGCTCTGACGCAAAATCCTGAAAGGTCTTTCTCATTCTGTCTTCATCCAATTCTGATATTTGCTTTTATCAACTCCTTTTGAAGATAAATGGAGAGGAATTAATTCTGCTGTTTCAGTAGTTAACTTGCTGTAGAGTTGACTAATTCGTTTTAAGAGCTCACTGAAGTTTCTATACCAGGACTTGAGCACTGTGTTAAAGGCAAAATCAGCTGGAATAATCTGGAGAGCACCCTGACTGTACATAAAATGTTTGGGTTTGTTCCCTTCTTCCCAGCCATCTATTTTAACTTGGATTCTTAGCTTTTAGTTAACATGATATGTCTGGGCTTAAGGACTTCAGCAGTAAATTCCCTTAGCTGTTCTGGGGTGGTGAAAAATGAAAACGGGGATATTTGCAATCTCCTTTGGCTTATGGGAAGGGCTTGGTAGCAGCACTTGAACACAGCTGTCGCTGATAAAAGCAGAGTGAAGGGAGGTGTGACTATGAGGGACCAAGGGATGATAAATGAACGTGCTCATCCTCTTGCTAGCGGAGGAGATGCTGGTCCTGTCCTACTAATGTGGATGTTTACGTAGGTGCTACTTGGAGGGAGTAAAAGCATTGTTTCATTTGAGAGGAAGAATTTCCTTTCTGTGTTAACAAATAGTCTGTTGAGGATCCCATCTGAGCTTCAGGTGCCTCGCTTTGTTAGGAAACCAAGCTAGCAATGTTTACTTCAAGCCCTCATCCCTCTAAAAGCCCTGTAGACTTTTATGGTTTTGCTTTGAAGAACCTGGTGTCACAGGAGGAAGGGATGGGGAAGATGCAGGTGCATTAAAAAGGCAGGTGAGTATTTTAAAGCTGAGAGACACAGCCAGTGCAACAGCCACATTGCTCTGTGTGAACTGGGACAACCTGGGGAGGGACAACATGACTTCTGGATCTTGACCTGAGTGTCAGGAATAAATGCTTTGAGGCCTCTAAATGAAAGAATGGCAAAAGAGGCCTGAATTTATCCTCAGCTTTGTTTCTGGCCTGTTTAATCTGAGGACTTTTTTTCCCCTTCTGTCCTTTCAGCTCTGTTAAATTGTCCAGAACATGTGCTGCAGGATGCAGGCTGAGCTTCTTGGGGCTCTGTTTGTGGCTGTTGCAAATTGAATGACACGCACACAAAAAAAGCAGGCAAAGTTAGATAAAACTACTAACCTGGCTTCTTCCTTTATGGGTTCTGGTCCTCCTTTGCAAGGAGTAACAGGTGCTGACTTAAAATCATCATGCTGCAGGCACAGCTGCAGAGGTTGTGTAGCTGAGCAGGTATCATCTGTGCTCTGGCTGCAATATTAAATCTAAGGTGCAAAATTGGCAAGACTCATATAAATGAGAAACGTGAAGCATCCTCCAGCTCTGTGGTTATATTCTTAGCACATAGATCTGTTTGCTTACACACCTGTAAAGCTTTATTGTTTTAGCCATGAGAAGGATGCATTTTGTTTCTGAAGTTGCCTGTGTGATGCTTCATGGGTCACTTAACCTTCTTCTTCCTCCAGCTTTAAAATGGGATAACAGCAGCCTCCATGATACAGCATGGGTCTTCAACATTCCCATGATGGAGTTAGGTTCCTTAGATAAAGTTTGTAAGGACCTATTAATGTATAATTTATATATAAATAAGTGTGCATATGCATGAAAATTAACAAGGTGCTTGGTGACAGCCAGCATGGCTTTGCTAAGGGGAAATCCTACCTGACCAATTTGGTGGCCTTCTATGATGGGGCTACAGAACTGATGGAGAGGGGTAGAGCAGTTGATGTCATCTACCTGGACTTGTGCAAAGCGTTCGACACTGTCCCACACATGTCCCACACGACATCCTTGTCTCTGAATTGGAGAGACATCAATTTGATGGATGGACCACTCAGTGGATAAAGAACTGGCTGGATAGCCGCACGCAAAGAGTTGTGGTCAATGGCTCAATGTTGAGCTGAAGGCCAGTAATGAGTGGTGTCCCTCAGGGATCGGTGTTGGGACCGGTCTTGTTCAACATCTTCGTCACTGACATGGACAGTGGGATTGAGTGCACCCTCAGCAAGTTTGCCGATGACACCAAGCTGTGTGGTTCGGTTGATACCCTGGAGGGAAGGAATGCCATCCAGAGGGACCTTGACATGCTTGTGAGGTGGGCTGATGGCAACCTCATGAGGTTTAACCATGCCAAGTGTAAGGTCCTACACCTGGGTCAGAGCAATCCCAGGCACAGCTACAGGTTGGGCAGAGAAGAGATTCAGAGCAGCCCTGTGGAGAAGGACTTGGGGGTGTTGGTCGATGAGAAAATGAACATGAGCCGGCTTCAGTGTGCGCTTGCAGCCCAGAAAGCCAACCGTATCCTGGGCTGCATCAAAAGGAGTGTGACCAGCAGGTCAAAGGAGGTGATTCTGCCCCTCTACTCTGCTCTTGTGAGACCTCACTTGGAGTATTGTGTGCAGTTCTGGTGTCCTCGACATAAAAAGGACATGGAACTGTTGGAACAAGTCCAGAGGAGGCCACAAGGATGATGAGGGGACTGGAGCACCTCCCGTGTGAAGAGAGGCTGAGGAAGTTGGGGCTGTTCAGCCTGGAGGAGAGAAGGCTGCATGGAGACCTCACAGCAGCCTTCCAGTATCTGAAGGGGGCCTATAGAGATGCTGGGGAGGGACCCTTCATTGGGGACTGTAGTGATATGACAAGGGGTAATGGGTTAAAACTTAAACAGGGGAAGTTTAGATTGGATATAAGGAGGAAATTCTTTCCTGTTAGGGTGGTGAGGCACTGGAATGGGTTGTGCAGAGAGGTTGTGAATGCTTCATCCCTGGCAGTGTTCAAGGCCAGGTTGGACGAGGCCTTGGGTGACATGGTTTAGTGTGAGGTGTCCCTGCCCATGGCAGAGGGGTTGGAACTAGATGATCTTAAGGTCCTTTCCAGCCCTAACTATTCTGTGATTCTATATATATGTAGATATATATGAGACTTCATGGCTGAAGTACCTTCTGTTATAGGTTTAGCCTTACGCTATGTCACACATTGTCATGACTTTGAATGAGACCATACCGTGTTTGATTGTTCTGAACAGTCTGCTTTGTGAGTGTGCTGACATAAATCCTTGTCTAACATTGGACTCTGACACACTCCTGGCAAGGCTAGTATGAGCCAAGCTGTGGTCTAATAACAGCAGCAGTCACTCTGGAGATGCTCTGTGGCTCTGTTTGGATTTTGTTTTAACAATGCTGCTCATAGTAGCAGGTTTTGTGAGAGCTGTTTGCCTTTCTGCTGTAGAAATGGTACACCTGCAGAGTGCTGCAGGAGGGAACTAAGAACCCAGACAGCAGTTCTGTCTCCTCTTCCCTCTCCTCTGAGCCTGCTCTGTTTTGGATTCTGGCTATTCCTGCTGAATTCATAGTTATACAACCGTGTGATGCTCCTTTGTAATCGGAATTCTTGCCCGCTTGGTGTAACCTAGGCTTTGAAATTTGAAGAACAAAATCATGAGCCTTTACAGAGTTGTTTCCTGGGCTCTTTCATGCCCCTTACTCCTGCTCTCTGACCTGATCAAAAGCCTTCTTGGGTTCAGCTTTGCTGTCTTGCAGGTTGCCAGCCATTCCAGGAAAGAACATGCATCGCAGGCAGAACATCTTGCGCACAGTTTCCAGGGTTACCTGTGTAGTGCTGATAGCAAACAGGAAATTAAAATGCTCCATGATGATGATACGTTATCGACAACAGATGGTGGCCATTAGGTGTACGTGCATGTCAGGGGAAGGCATAAAGGCAAGTAGAGCAGACATGACTATTAGATTTGTGTAATTGCCACTGCAGATGAAGCAGGGCAGTCCCTGAGCAAATGATTCCTTCTGGTCCTGGTGTATGTGACTGGTTCCTGAAAGTAACTCCAAGTGTCAGTGTGTCTTCAAGCTAAGTTGTTTGCAGAGTTCCTTGCCCTTCTGTACAGCTTGTTCTCTTGCTATTATCTCTCATCTCTCTCTTCTATACAGCTTTTCTCTCTTGTCCTTCAAAAGGCTTGGTCTCTTCAGGCTGTTCTACTTTTAACCTCTCCAAG